CGAAGCACGAAAATTTGACACTGGCGCTGAATTCCGCCCAAGCCATCGGTTGCAACGTGATCAACATCGACGCGCACGATTTGGCAAAAGGAAAGCCTCATTTGGTCCTCGGTCTCCTTTGGCAAATCATTCGTGTAAGTACCATATGCTTTTTGCATATACTGTACTGTCCTTTATTTTATTTCATTTTTCAATCTCGTGGTTGACGTTCGTGGGGATTCGTGGGATCCCAATTTTTTTTTTTTACTTGAATAAATGACCTGACAACCAGAAATTCCACCAATGCCTGAACAAAATAGTGATTGAATCTGATGACCGGATTTAAATTTGTGGAATGTTACCAAGTATGAATGAGGCGCGAAGAAATAAAGAGCGACATCTATCGAGTGACGAAGACTGTCAGGAAACTTGGGGGAAAATTGGACTTCGAAGGAAAAATTAAAAGTTTGCAATTGTTCCCCGCGATAATTAAAACGATGCGTTTTGTTTGTAAAAAGATTTGTATTTTATGTTTTCCCCGATTGAAAACTCAATTATTTAATCTGAAGTGCGAAGTTAGTAACTTGACTAATGTGAACAACTTTAATTTACAACTTCAAGCAGAGTCTGAAAAACATTCTGTGCTAAACTGGGAAGAACATATTTCGCACTAGAAAAGGAAAGCTTACAGAGAGGAACTTTCTATCTACGATGTTTTTCTACACAAATATGTCATAAATCAACACGAACGCGACGACAGAATATAAAAAAAGAAAACTTATTAAAGTACGAAGTTTTACGTAAAGGATTTCGTCGTTGGATCTTGGTTTTGTAAGGTTTCGGCATGACTTTTAAAAAATGTCGACAGAACTTGGAGTATGCAGCTGTTGGAGAATTTTAAGGGAAATGCAGTCTTACTTATCCATTCTTGCCGATTTGGGCTGAAACGTTGAACATTCAACTGTGTATCGAATTTCAGACAGAGATTTCTCTCGATTTTTCTTTACAAGTTCTAAGTGGAGTTTATTTTATCGTGTACTGTACTGTACTGTAGACTTGTAGAGTACTTGAAATTTAGTTCATTCATTCTTTATTTTTCTTTGATTTCAGATTGGGCTGTTCAACCAAATCACGTTAGAGCACTGTCCAGGCAACCGGTGAAACGAGTGCCTGCCTCTTTTCGAACTGCTTAACGACTTTGACTCGGGGCTCGTCTAAAACTACGCGACCCAGTTAATGGTAAACCTAGCACGGCCTTGTTTGTCCACGCAAAGGCCAAGAATAAGTTGTGGTTGGGTTTTTCAAGAAGAAACTCTTCGAATTCTTTGTGAAGCCATTAACATTTTTTTTATTTAATTTGTACAGGTTTCATTGCCGTCTCAAAAAGGAGACGCGTTAATTACTTCATTTGTTTTTATCCGTTCTTTCGCCGTATTTTTTAAAGGCCGTTCTCACGTGATTTTTATCTTCCGCATAATGCGATCAGCTCTGCATGTGTTCTACATTTTAATTTGTTACCCAGATCAAGCGCATCTGAAGAAAAAAAATCCTAATTTTTTTTATCTCTCTTAATCCGTAGAAAAGAGGATTTAATGCATTTTCTTTGAGTTGAGACCGTGAACATGAGTCACAAACGACGGACTTGTTCCCTTTTTTGTTGTTGAGCTGAAAAAGGTCTTTCATGTAATCTTTTGGAGCTTTTGAGGTACGGTGAATTGAATGATCTGAAATCATTGATGATCGCGGTCTTACTGTTTAAGGGATTCCAAGAATGTTCATACATTTTGGGTGGGTGCAAATTTAAGTGGGAATCATCCATCTCCTCAGTGCTCAAAGCAATTCATTCTTTAATTTTTCAAACCTTGGGTTTGTTCGTTAAAAAGATAATTATAATCTATTTCTGTTTGAGTGAGTGGAACTGCTGGGACATCAAAGCTGTACAGTATTTTGCCACTGATGAGATAATTTTCTTTCTCATTGTTATTATGAAAATGAATCGACGAAAATTTTCTGGTGAACAACCCTGGAATATTCCTCTCTAAAAGTTGACATTACGAAAGCTTGCGTGTTGGCAAAAAAAAAGAGCAATGCCCCTGTCATTGTAAAATTGAATAAAAAACACCTGAAAAATAAATAATTGAATTCAAATTTCACAAAACGTTTTTCAGCTGGAAGTGTTCACGCGCGGTACAGAAATATTCTCTGGTTCACATTTTGACATTTCTACTGCACAATAAGTGTATCATTTGTTTTATTGAAAAATAAACTCATATTATAAGTTTCACAAGAACGTTTTTTCAGCTTAAACTGATGAGGTACAGGATGGAATTATTTTTTTGTCCACCTATTGATATTTTTACTGTAGATTACATGTATAATTTTTCTGTTTGAAAAAAAATACATGAAATGCTCGAACTGGTGATTTTTACGGTATAAAATAGTTTTCTGGTCCACCTATTGACAATTTTTTTTACGCGTGTGCCTTTTGTGCTCGCAGACGACTGAACAATTTCACCAACGACGTGCGGGACTCGGAGATCTACTCGTACCTGCTACACCAGATTGCCCCGCTCGACGCCGGCGTGGACATGGCGGCCCTGCACGAGCCGGACGCCCTGCGCCGCGCCGAACACATGCTGCAACAGGCGGAGAAGCTCGGCTGTCGCAGCTTCCTCACGCCCGAGGACGTCGTCGCGGGCGTCTACAAACTCAACTTGGCCTTCGTCGCCAACCTCTTCAACAACCACCCGGGGCTGGACAAGCCCGAAGACATGGATCTCACCGCCATGGACGTGGAGGAGACGAGAGAAGAGAAGAGTGAGAGAGAATGACTTGATGTTGACACTCGATTAGACAGAAAGAAGAATTGTTGGAAATTGTAATGGGGGAGATATTACTCTTTCATTTCCCGTCAACAAACTTCGTAACATTTTTTTTATTGCTTTTCTCTCTCGTGTGTCAATGAAATAATAGCCGAAAGGCCTCCAGAAAATTCGAGTTATGGAGGTTTTGAGGACGGAAAGCCTTGAAAGTT